GTCCTTTTGTGAATGGATATATTTGTCATTTGGAATTTGAGGTCCCAACCATCCAAGATAGTTTCAAAATAATTTTTTAAATTCAAGTTATGTTTCAATATTTGTAATTTATCTCAAGGGATATTTTGATTTCAGTTTGGGAAGAGTGCAAATATAAAAATTTACGGTGCAAATACAAGGTTTAGAAATACCGTATACAAGGAAGAGTGCAAATACAAGTTTGGGAAGAATGCAAAATCTTGTATTACAATATTTCTAAACCTTGTATTTGCACTTTAAGGCTTAATTTGGAAAGACTATAAATGCAAATATGTACAGTATAAATACATACAAAATAATATAAAATATAAGGTTTTGCACTCTACAAATTTATATTTATACTCCTTCCAAATTGAGCCTTAAGTATTTAATCATAAATCATATTTTTACCACATTAGGTTTCCTGCTCACATCACTCTACCCACATTTTTTCGAAGATAATATGGTCTTACAATGTATACTTTTATTCAAGGATTAAAATATTGATGAAGCATATCGCCTTCTATCAATATATCCGGATGTTTTTGGATACCTCAATGCATAATTTTTTTAAATATTTAAAACATTCTAACCTTATTCCCTAATCCACTTATCATTATAAAATAAAAAAAAAAGAAGGAAATCTAAACACCATTTTTGTCATGTTTTAATTGAGGTTTTGACAAATAAAAGGCAGAGACCTAACACGCTTTGTCAAGTGCCTCCTGGTGGGATGTGATGATACGAAAGTCAACTCTTCTTGTTGCAACTTGTGAAACGTGGACCATAAGGGGGAAAAAAAGGTGATGATGATCTTTTTAATTAAAATCAGATACGGACCTAGATCCAAATTCAAACCATTAATATTTGAATGAGAATTAAAACTTAGGGTTCAGATATTATAATATTGTTAACAAATCAAGCGGTAAATCAGAAAAAATATATATTATTAATAAATGAGCTCGGAATGACTTGGATATTGCATATGATCATGAATAAAATGATTTCAAATAACTTATCTTACAATTGAACCTTTGACCCTCTATTAGAAATACAACACTCACACCAAGTCACCTACCTGACCCAAATGCATTTTACGCCTAAGTTTCAGGGGTTTAATGATTTATGGGTTGAGTTAAGGTTTTGGTTTAGGGTTTAAAATTTAGGATGTAGATACCAAGAGGGGGTAAGATGCCTTTGTCTGACCAAGGTAGGAGTGACCTAATTGTATAAATTTTAGGGGTAAAATACAGATGCCACCCTATACTATTTTGGGTAGGATTGTCAATGGATCGAATACTGGTTCAATCTGATCCGGTCCATTATGAGTCCATTATAGATGGGCCAGGTYCAATCCAATGTGATGGATACTTTGAATTATTCTGGATTGGTCCAATTCAATGCTTGGACCATCCAAACTATTCAATTTGATTTTAATTCAACCTGAATCATTTTCGTATTGAGTTCTGGAGAGGGCTGGTCGCCGTAGACCTGAACATCCTCAGGAACGAGGATTCCTCCCCCCCACTGGGTGATGTGGGGATCCCATATCCGGTTTGTTGTAATAACGTGCGAGTGAGGAATTAAAGTAGAACCATGCGAATTGGAGGCTTCAGGGGCAGGTTCGGGTGTAGGCACGTGAGGCATCACCGTATGGGCAATTGGATCCAGCATACAATAAGAGGTTGGGTTGACATACATCAGGTCTCCACCCTCCTCCTCAAGGTTCACCAACTCACGCTCCCTCTCAACCGACCTCCTTTCTGCCGACTCCTGCTCCATTGCTAATGTATGGGAAGAATCACCGGCCTTTCTCTTCTTCTTGGAGGGCCTCTTAGCAGCATTCAGGATAGATGGGGTGTTGGACATATCTGCCATAGGAATAAGGAAAAGTTAGTTAAGGAAATAAAGCATAGCAGACCAGGAAAAAAGCCAAGTATGACAAGGATGACCTACCCTGAGGGCTCAAACTAGCTCCGATAAGCATTATCTTGGTTAGAAACTCGTTGACCATTGATTGCCAACCAACGGGGAATTGAACCTTGTTAACCAGTTCTTCGTCGAATTCAACTTGTAGGACCTTTCTAAGGTCAACCCTCTAGGTCGTGCCCATAGGCTAGTCATTCTCCTAGGACAAGAAGAAGAACCTCCTATTCTATTGCGCTACCTTAATAGGGAATCTACCCAAAAGTTTGAAGCCAACTCGGTAACTCAAGTAAAAGTAATAGGGAAAACTCAACGTGATGGAAAAAGGAGATGGTACCGACAATGGTCCTAATGGAGTTGACCTGAAGTGATGTTGTAAAACCTAAGCAATTCATAAATAAAAGGGTGGAGAGGAAAATGGAGTCTGGCCACCAATGCCTCCTCGAAGGCACATAACTCATCTAGTATGTAGTAGGTATCGATTAAGTCTACTATTTTCTCMCTACTCAACTCGGTGGGTCCAAACTCTGACCTGGTCTTTRGTTGGCGATGAGAGGTCGAGGCCAATTTTTGGGATCCTCGCCTCTCTTGAGCCAAGGTCCCCTCCTCGGCTTGAGTGTCCTGGTATTATTCCCCCTTTAACTCACCGGAAAACATAAATACTAGAACAAAAAGCAAAAATGACTCATCTACGGGACTGAGAAAAAACTAGACTGACCTCGATAGCCTCACCTGTGTTTTCCGAGCTCTCCAACCTCCCTCACTTATGCTCCAAAAAACTCCAGGAAATTGTGCAAATGGGACCCCCCATGGGCCCCCTATATATAGATAGAAGACTTGCGCAACTGATGGCTATAATGCRTCCAATCTGATCGTTCCCAGGGGAGCGCCGCTTCAAGTTTCAAGAACGGTTTCAAATTTAAATTTTGCACACCCTATTTGAAATTCAAATTTTCTACACAGAGTCTTTATGCCCCCCAACGCGACCTATTAGACCGGTTCGGACGAGTGAACTATGTTGGCACAAACGAACCCGCTGAACTACGTAACTTTGGGTTAGAGACCTCCTACAACGGGCTACTCCCTTCCCCGAGCTAACATCAACTTGGGAGTGTGGGGCAATTGATTAGGGGTAATTTGACCCTCCAATGACTTTGCACCACATGGCACTTTTGAACCGTTGCACAACACCTCAATGCTACATAGGCAATGACGTGTCCTTATCGGATGAGTCAGAACCACCTCAGTTCTGTCTCGGGCACACCTTGGACACCTCGAGAGACTGGTGCGAGTGCCTAGCATCACCTTGGCTAGGACAGAGGAGGGAATAGCCTTATGCAACTTATGCACCTCGGCARAGCAGACCAAAAACCTTGGCAGGAGGGCCAACCTCCTATCAGGTACTTACCGACCTGACTGAGGTTCGAGGTGGTGACCTCTGTGCCACCCGCTTCGGAGATAATCGTATAAGCCTTATCACTTTCTGCTAAAACCACCTCCAAGGATGGTGGGCCGATAAGCCATGCTCACTCGGAGATCTCAGATACGCTACGTGAGACCGATGCCTATATAAAGGCACCTCCTTCACCTACAAAAGGTACATACGATTGTGCACTAACCTTGCTCATTGCATTCTAAGCTCTCTTTCTCTCTTTCTATTCTCATTAATGACTTAAGCATCAAAGTACTCATCCCAGGTAAAACATCCTATGTACCTTGACTCTGTCTTCTTACAACTCGGTCTACCGACCTCATCAGCCCAAYGTCCAAGTTGTCCTCCAATAAGGAGTTTCCAAATCATGCACCATCACATACAAACACTAAAAGTTGCAAAAGACTAAAAACACAACAAGAGATATCGCATTGTAACATGCCTATTTTCATTATTTTTGTATTTTCCATAATTTTCAAATCTGCATCGGACTAGACGGTCAGACCGAAAAAACTAAGAACCGGTCAGGTGATCAATTTCGATTTTCCCCAAAACCGAAATTTCTTCTAAAACCATTGATTTTTATTAATAAACCACTGAGGCGGGCGGTTAACCGTTCGAACGGTTTTAAAAACCACGGTATTTTCTTCTCTCTGCCTATCAAAATTTGAATGAGCAGGTGCAAAATATTGAAATTTGAATTTTGAGGATGAGTCTGTCACAAATGAAAGTTGGGGGCTTAGCATCACTACCCCAAAGTGTTGTATGGCAGTCTATAATTTAATATAACTTTTATATTTAGATAGAGTTGGATTAGATCAAATGCAATTAGAGTTGTTCTGTTTTCAATCCAGTCATAAATAGATCAAAGTCATATTGATTTGATCAAATTCAAATCCAAATCCACAATTTCTTCCTTGTTGATGGAATTCACTTTTTTACTGTATCTGTATGTTTGATAGGCATTGCTAAACCCTAGACTAATAGTAATAGTAAATGTAAATGTATGTATTAGAAAAGTGAGTCTAGATCAAGTAGGCGCATTTAGTGAGCACGTAAGCACAGGGTAAATTTTCTGCAGACAGTTGTCCCATAAGTACCCGGCCTATCCTTAATTACTCTTTAGTGTTCCTGAGCCAAACACAACCCTAAAATTGGTGTCATCACTTATTGCTCTTTAATTAGCTAAATGAAGGAATAGCTAAAATCAGGAAAGCCAAATGGAGGTGGGAAATTAGGGCCCCAACAACCAAACAAATCCTTCAGTCTCAACCTGAGCAAAACAAATGAAGAGCCTTAAAAAGGAAGAATAAAATGAGAATAGGAGTTGTAGGACACAAGCATGAAAGTTGAAACCGAAATATTTAGAAACTACTATCTTGATCAACAAAGGCCAAATAACCCTGACTGTAGATCCTCAGCACACTACCTGTATAAGTCTCCATCCAACAGTTAAGAGGACAACACTCCTGAAGGAAAAAAGAAAGATGGAAACGGAAGCCTACAATGACATGGACATGGTGACTGGGGCCTCTGGGCCCTGGGTGTTGAGAGGACACTTTGGCTGAATCCCATTTTAAAGCATTTTAAGTCTGATAAGGCCAGAATTGAGCTTGATATTAGTATAGGAGGAGGGGGGAGTTGCTGCTATTTCTCCTGTAATAATTCCACCGTATTCCCACTGAAGGTTTCTCGGCAATGGAGCCTATGAAGGCTTCTCTGCAACAGAAATCATCTCATGGTGGATGGAGATCGGCCAGATACATCATTGGTAAGCAGTTTTATTGTTTAATTAAACTTGATGCTAATTCTTGTAGTTTCTCAAAGACAAGTGGTTTCTTAATTAAACTTGTCTCGTATAACAGGAGTCGAAATTGCTGAAAGGTTTGCTTATTACGGCATGATGGGGAACCTCTTCACCTATCTCACCCAGTCCCTTGGTGAGTCCAATGCAACAGCAGCCAAGAACGTGAATATCTGGTTTGGAGTATCGACTCTCCTTCCCTTGTTAGGAGCTGTGATTGCTGATTCCTACTTGGGTCGTTTCAAGACTATCTTCATCTCATCTTTGATCTATCTACTGGTGGGTCTGATTGAATTTGTTTTGTTTGAGTACTACTGGTTTCTTTCAAATGACCCTGATCATGATCATGGGTGTGTTTGATTCAACCACAGGGATTGGGTCTGTTGACATTCTCAGTGTCGAGTGCAGTTTCATCACAAATTCGGCCACCATTGGTCTTCTTATCTCTCTACATCGTCTCAGTTGGGGCAGGCGGGCACAAGCCGTGTACTCAAACATTTGGGGCGGATCAATTTGATGAAGATGATCCAGAAGAGAAGAAAGCCAAGAGCTCATTCTTTAACTGGTGGTACTTTGGGCTGAGTGGCGGAGCCATGGCAGCGTTGTTGATAGTAACTTACATCCAGGACAACAAGGGATTTACTCTTGGCTATGGAATTACAGTCGCAGCCATGGTGGTTGCGCTTGTTTTGTTTTTGTTCGGACGACAGACGTATAGGCAGCCGGCGCCGAATGGGAATGCATTAACTCGAGTAGCACAGGTGTTTGTTGCTGCTGGCCGGAAGTGGCGATTGTCTGCTCCGAAGGAAGAAGGCCAAGGAATAAATAGTATTGAAGAAGGGAGGAGAGTTGGTGTGGCCATGAACAATCAGCCCATGAGTCGAACCCTGGCTCCTACCAATCAATTCAGGTAAGAAGTCTTGATCATTTAATCGATCAGTGGTCTAACTAAATCCGGTAGCAATAACGGGTTGAAACTACCAAATAATAAAGCAATAACTGGTTAACATCTCTGCCCCACAGCACATCCCCGCCATGTAGTTAGAACATCTCCCGATGATAATACCAGTCTCGATGATAACGATATTCATCAGGTGGGGCGGAGATGTGATTTCAACTAACTGACTGATCAATAAGGTTGTATTTTTAAGTGATAAATTGAAATTCAAATCTTTTACCCACAAGAATCCTAGCCACATGGCATTGCAGCACAAGAATCCTACCCACATGGCATTGCAGCTGTACATTGAGAACATCTCCTCACTCCATGAATAATAACATGCAAATATTAGAGATATTCAATGTGCAACTGTACTGAGGCGTCCATAGTGTGGGTATGAGATCCAAATTGGTGTCTCTTATGAGAGTTGAGTTGAAATTTCAGTAAAGGGTCCATTTGGTTTGGGGCCCAGAATTGGAATTGGAATGCTAACTGTTAGGTTGGGCGTAATCAAAATCATTTCCATTCTTGGTAGAATAACATTCTCACACTTGTGAGGGAATGGCCATTCCTTTTCCTTCCTTGGGAACAAAGAAAGAGAATCCATTCCAAYTAATTCTAATTYCGATTTTGATTCTAATTTGAACCCAATAGGTGAGAGGAATAGCTCATTCTGATTCCGATTCTGAGGAATACTTAAGCTGATTCAATTGCTTTAAAGCATTTCATATAAGCTATTTAAAGAGACCGAAGAGAACAGTTTTTTAAATAACTGACTGACAGCTGGCTCTCCAAACATAACTTATAAGCTGTCCAAGAGAGAACCACTTAGGAAAATCAGAAGCTGTTATTTATCAAAAAAAAAAAAAAATCAGAAGCTGCTGTGCTTCGGCTTTCCCAAACGACACTTACTAATTAGGAAGAACTCTTGTGTTTCGAGCTGTCCTGAGAGGCGGTTTGAGAGCTCTAATTAAATGGTTGCCAAAGTTGACCTGAAAAATCCATAATGATCAGACAATATGTGGGTCTGCACATTGGAGTCTCAATTATCAATTTTTTATCTCTGCATGTCGAGTTTCAATTATAATAAATTATAATAGGGYCGGGTTCACATGCTTTGCTTGTACTTATTTTATAAAATGTCTGAAATTGTTACTTTATGGGGAACATATAACGGGGTCTTATCGGGTCCACCTCATAATCTGGATCAATAATAGGATCAGTCATAGGTCCATTACATACATACATACCTTACAGGGTCTGGACTGATGGGGATGGATTTGGGTATATGTGTTTCATTACCCGGCCCGGACCAGATTGACACGTATATAGCCCTTGTATTAATCCATACAAGGCCAAAACAAGCCTGTCAAGTCCATTCGATGCGTTTCAAGCTGGACTTGTGGAAAGCATATGGACTTGTCTAGAAACCCCTCTTTGCACCATAAAGAGTGTAATCTCAATGGGAGGGTCCACTTGTTTAACTACATCTTCTTTTCTTTCCACGTGGCAAGTTTCACAGAAATGCATTTTACCATTCATTCGTGATCTGCTGTTTACCTATTACTGGTACCCAAATGGGTCCCCATTAGGAATGCACCCTCGAGCATGTAATTGCTTTGTAAGCAACCATATGGAGTATTTTTATGCTCAAAGGTGCATTTCCTATTAGTGATTATTACGCACATAGAGTTCTTATGTTGTCCTCCTTTTCGATTAATTCATAATAATTTATAAAATAGTTACCACAACTTTCTTAGTTTTCTCTTCTCTTTTAGTCACACATGAAAAGGTTATAAGCATCTCTTACATTTATTTATGGGAACTTACTTAATGAATACAAGGAGAGTTTATACTGTTTATTATGCAATGTGTATGGTGCATTATGGGGCTTTAGAGTCACACTTTGTTTGCATTTTATACATTTCCACATGATCCGATGCTTAATCTTAATTATTGATTTTTAAGTACAAATTGTGGTATAAATATAATATTTTTTTTTTGGAAAATTTATGATATTGGAAAGACATGATACCAAAAGAATTTTCACTAATTAAAATTCACCCGTGAATTTTGATAAATTCCACCATTAACACATTTATGATACCGATTGATTGGTCACAATTTTTTTTGGATATCATATCTCAAACCCTTGTACTTGGGGGGCGTTCTTTTTTTGGATTTTGAAAGGGGGGAAAGTTGGTCAATGAGATTTTGATTTCCATTGACCAAGAAACCCATATTCGTTTTTCAGATTTATGTAGGGGCCAGATAAAGTTTATTTTCCTGGTTATCACTTACCCGGGTAAGTGATACCCATCTCCTAGGTGAATAAATAACTTTCCCACTTGGGGGAAAGTAATCAACACTTAAATGGGACAAAAATGCCTCTTTTAATAATTAAATTATATGGATAAAATGGCTATTGCCTTATTTACATGCGAAATAAAATAACATGGATAAATGCACTTACCCGGGTAAGTCTTTCTTGGGAAACACTTACTTGGATAAGTGTATTTACCTGGATAAATAACTTACCGAAAAACGAACGGGGCTTTGGTGTAAACTGTATAAATATAATACACGGCTTGTATTTTAAATTTTTAATTGTTGAAGGTGCTTTCCCATTGTGGTGAAATTATGAAGGGTAGTTTACAAATACACCCCTATGATTTTATGTAATTACTAAAACCTACCTAACCTATAATTTGTGTATCACTTAAGACAACCTCACTTCGCAATCACTTAATGCTGGTTCTCGTAGATGGAAACATGATATGACGTTTTGCAACCCTTATATTTTGTTCAGCGAAGACAAATAAAAGAAAGGGTAAATTACAACGACCCCTGGTACAGACCTCCCTTGACCGTTAAGGCAAATGACGAAATGCGTTAAATTACCAAAATATTCCACTAAACATTTTTTATTTTTTATTTTTTGCCCTTTTTCTCTTAAAACCTATTTAACCTATTGTTTTCCCTTTCTTCTCTTCTTTTCCCCTCTTTCACCGTCTTCTCTCATTCTTTCTCTCTCCCAACTCTCTGAAATGAAGGGACGGAGGAAACCCATTTCTCATCTTCCCTTTCTTCTCTTCTCCGTCTTCAATCTTGCCTCTATAGCTGTCGTCGACGATGTCGTGATCATGAGAAACTGCAAAGCTTGATAGCCCAACAACAGATGTCTGCCCATACCTCTGTTTTCTCCGTCTTCTATCTTTTCCTCATCGTCATCGTCGACTTCTTATGCTTCTATGGCAACCAACAAAGGGAGAAAAACTTGTAATTGACAGAGCCAGAGACTCTCCTCCTGCAACACTTGCGGAACCGCCTCTCCTGCAACACTTGCGGAGACGGAGCCGGCGTCACGTCTCAACCTAAACGTGTTTGCTGTGGTTGGACTCATGGACTACTTACTAACTAGCAAAACCATTTAAAGAAGATACGTGGTTTTGGCATCATCACGCCCATCGACTGACTACTTACTAACTACCAAATCTGTAGACTATGCACATTTCCTTTCCAAGCTTTTGATTCTCCAATTTGAGAAATCTACATGGAACAAACCTATTTCCTCCCTCCCCCTCTCACTCTACCCTTCCTTGAAATTTCTCTCCCCTTCCCATCTCAATCCTTTGATCCTTTCCTATATATCCTCACTTCTTCCAACATTCATTGGATTATCAGCCTCGTTTACTTGGTTCCTCTTTTCTTCTTTTTTCTATTTATCTCCATCTCAGGATTCCCTCTCCCTCTCTGCTCAAATATCTTTGAATCATCAAAGGAGAAAAATGGAGAACAATCAGTAGTTGTTCTAGCAATTCAGCGATTAGCTGAGGCTACAATTGACAAACTTGGCAAATCTTTCTCTTAACAATTCAATATGGGGGAATTCAGCGATCAACTGAGTCCACGAGCCAGAGTAGGTGTCACATCGTGGTTGGATTCGTGGACTACATACACCAATACCGCGTATCTTCTGTAAATGGTTTCACAAAAGAGAAGCAATGAAGATATGTATTGTGTTCATTAGTTTCCAGAGGCTCCATAAGGCATTGAAACGTTGTCCCCAACTCAATGGAGAGAGAGAGAGAGAGAGAGAGAGAGGTAGGGATTGAATTAAATGGGTTCAATCCCAACGCTGTTGGGGAAGGGCAAGAAGAGAGATAGGGGGAGAGAGAGGAGAGAGAGGGAGAGGGAGAGAGAGAGAAATGTGAAGGAACGGAAGGGTAGTACGTATCAGAAGGTCGGGAAAGATGAGGAGTGTTTTTCTCGTCTAATTATTACAAGGGTAGTATGGGGATTAAAAAATATTGTAATGGCTTTTTGGACGGAAGGCTAACAAAAGGGGGTCTTTGTCTCACGGTCATAGTACAGGGGGGTTTTTGCCGTAAAACAAAGTATAGGTTGGTCTTTGTAATTTACCCTAAAAGAAATTATCTTCATTTGTTTTAACTTTACTTTTTGTTTTATAGCTTTTCCTATTATATTTTGTTTTATTTTTACAATAAAATAATATGGGGTGAAGGATTTATTTCTAAAAGTATGAGACTTTTTATGGGTATTTTTGGAATAAAAACCATTTCTAAATGGATATACAAATGGTTCCTAAGAATAGATAGGGTAGGTCTTAGTATTTATGTGAAACCATAGGAGTGTCTTAAATGACTCCCAATTATAATGTAATTTACATGGTTTTAAAAAACGATTTGGAAATGGAACCGTTCTGGTCACCAGTTTTCAGTCAATGGTTCGACCATCTGGTTCGAACAGATAGTCCATTCTGATAAAAAAATGAAAAATAAAAAAATAATTAAAAAACAAAAAAATGAGCAAAAAACCGTTGAATGGATCGACGGTTCGACCGCCCAGATCAACGGATTGTTGACTAATTCAACGGTTTTTGTCCAAAGACCAAGTTTAGAGTAAAATAGAATCGATTGCCTGTTTTATTTATATTGTGCTATTCAAATTTCAAACCTCCTGTTTTATTTATACTAATTTAAAAAATAAATATAAAGCAAAAAGATTGCGAGGAATGATAAACAAATGGACAAGTAGACATTTTTAAGGTGTTTGGTCTACTAGTAATGACCTTTGAAAATCTGTTTGGTTGAGACAAGCAAATCGAGTGTTAAAGTGTTTGACTTCATTATTATAGTATTTTATACCAAAAACATTTTTATTACAATAAAAGTATGATATCTAACTTGTCAATTTTTTTTTTCAATTGTTGTTGAAGATTATTTTGGCATTATATTAGGGCAAAGCATTTGCAGATTACATGTCCCGAAAATTAATTATTTTCAATTCAATAATTTTTTAGCCGTTTGAAAAACCACATTTGTTCAAATCCGGATTTACTCCTCAAAGATAGCGCCTCACACCATCTTTACAGCACTTTCTGTACATCAAAACTGAATCTATTAATGGGTCAGGCTTGAATTTGGCTTTCGCCAAAATTTGAATGAGCTCAGCCCAGAGTTTAACCTGAAACAGTGTAAAGTCAGGCTCGAAACTCGGCCCTTGAACAGGTCTAATGAGAACATATCCCGTACTTAATTTTGTCATTCATGAAAAGATATTTCAAATGAGACCAAATCAGCCCCTCACAATGTCCCACAATACATCCCTACCGTGTATTAAGAACATCTCCCGATGATGATATTATCATTTTTGGGATTATCATCGGGAGATATTCCCACTACACGGCGGGGGTGTGCTGTGGGACGTTGTTGGGGGCAGTGAGGGGCTGTAAATCCGATTTTCCTTTGCTGTACATCTATTGCTTGGAGTCCAAAGTTCTAAAGCAAATTTAGAGATGGAAGATTATTATACAAATAAATAAAAAAGAGTATTAATTAAAAATGTTGAGGTGAATCAAGAGTAATACTATTAAATTGAAAAGACAAAATTGTCCTTGAGAAATTAAGAATCAACTAATTGCATGGTGTAGCCATGAAATCATCTTACGTAAAGGTGTGTATACGTAACTACAGGTTTCTGGACAAAGCAACAATCATAGACGATGTGGATTTCTTGAACAACTGTAGAAACAAATGGAGGCTTTGCACAGTGACCCAAGTAGAAGAAGTGAAGCTCCTCCTTCGCTTGGTTCCAATCTGGTTCAGTGGTTTGATGTACGCCGTGGTATTCGCCCAGATCAATACCTTCTTCGTTAAGCAAGGTAGCACAATGGACAGAAGGATTGGATCCAAGTTTCTTGTACCTTCTGCATCACTTCAAGTCTCAATTCCCCTAGTCATCATCTGTTTCGTGCCGATATACGACCGGATTTTTGTTCCGATTGCAAGAAGATTCACCGGAATTCCAACTGGTATAAGAATGCTACAGAGGATCGGAATTGGCCTGGTCATTTCGATAATCGGAATGGTCGTGGCAGCTCTGGTAAAGGCCAGAAGGATTCAGATCAGCAAAGATCATGGACTGGTTGAGCAACCAAAAGCACCCTTGCCCATGAGCGTGTGGTGGCTACTTCCACAGTATATGGCTTGGGGAGTTTCAGACGTATTCACAGTGATCGGACTGACTGAACTCTTCTACGATCAGATGCCGGAGGACATGCGCAGCGTTGGGTCTGCAGCTTTCCTTAGCATATTTGGCGTTGGAAGCTTACTGAGCAGTGGAATCATATCCATTGTGCAGTCGATCAGCTCAAGGCATGGAGAAGAATGGCTGAGCAACAATCTTAACGAGGCACACCTTGACTATTACTATTGGGTGCTAGCAGGGCTGAGCTCTCTGTGGCTTGGGCTGTATATGGTTATAGCCAAGTTGTTTGTTTACAGAAAAATCCATACTGATGCTCTTCATAGAGGTTTTGATGGATGATTGGCTGTTGCCCTGTTGGTTTCTTTTGGGCCTTTTGGGCCCATCCAGATAGAAGTGCAGTGCACTGGTCTTGTAGTTGTAGACATAGCAAATAATGGGCCAAAGGGTAATAGAAAATAATAATTTTATATCAACATTTTATGTGTTTATAAATATATGGTAAAAAATTGAATACAAATTTTGGTGAAATATTCAAATATCAACAAACTGTGTCTTTGTTTCATTTAATCTAGAGTGAATACACCACCGTTCCAAATATGTAAGGTGTAGGTCCCATTGTGTGTTCACTTTTGATTGGTTATGTAGCCCATTGTATACGCCTTTGTTGGCAGCAGACTTAAACCTGCTAAATGCTTATACCAGTAAAGAACAAATTTAATTCTCGAGATTTGACTTATTGAAAGTTTATCAACAATTTTTATAAATTTAAATTGTATTTAAACTAAAATAATAATTATAATAAAAATTAAAAAAAAATTATCTAATAATAATTAATAAAAGTAAAATTAAATTAAAACCCATTTAAATTCTATTTAAACATAGTAAAAAATTATAACAAATTTATTTGACAATACATAACCAAAAAATAATGCTTAGGTTGGACTTGGTATGGCTTGGCCCAATTGGGAATATCACAAAGCTCCTTTTGCCTCAATTGCACTTAACAAAGTCCGTGCATCAAACAGGGTCTCTCGACTTATAAATATATACAATCATGCACAAATTATATGATTAAATTCTCTCAAACAAAGAAACTTTTAGGGAGATGAGCAAGGGCGTAAATGAATCCATTAATCAATCCAACTTAAAAATATACATATATACATACATGTGTATACATACATATATTATATATACATATATATAATACTTGTATTTTCTTACAATTATTTATACTGTAATTGCTTAATGGAGCAGTGTCATTTTCAGATCCTTGGGCAATTAGTACTTAGACGAGTATAAGTATTTTTGCATTGATATTTTTTCATCAGCTTTCAAAGAACCCAGCCTAAAACTATTACTTAAACCTTATTTGTAGTTTTTGACAATTGCTTAAACCTCTTTTGAATTTTGATTTCTCCAAAAAATCTCCCTCTACCTTTCAGGTGAATTAGACAAACCAACCCTTCAGTTAGTTTGATGTTGAGGATGTTAACATAAAAAGACGATAACCCACACATTTGCCACCCCTACACTTACATGCACAAACAATACGTTAGGAAACTTTCCTTTCTGGTCTGTTTGGTTGCCAAGAAAGCAAGGGATGAGAAGGAATTGTTTTCCCAAATTGCACCTCATGTTTATTTGTCGCGAAATAATATAATTCATTTTCCAAGTTTGGTTGCTGAAAAAATTCAACAGGATTCATGAGATAGAATCCATTTTAATATCTTTACATACTTGTTCAGCCCATAGTATTGACTTAGGTTTTGTTTGTTTGCAGTGCAAATTCGAACCAGATACAAGTTTTTCACCCTGTTCAGTTTTGCATCTTTCTTTTATAGTTATTATTGTATTCCTGCTTGATACAAAATTTATACTTTTTGTCTCATTTTCACTCATTAACTATATAAATATGCAAAATTTGTAGCACTTTCCTCCAATTAATATCAATTCTCTCTCATATAAAGTGGTTATTACATCATCTTGCTACTTTCACACATTTCCAAACAAATGACACCCTCTCTCTCCATTCCATATAAAGTTGGCACCACTTCATTTTAATTACTTTTTATTTCATTTAACAGGAAGTTAAAATCAAATGATTCAAATTTGAAACAAACAAGATCTAGAATTTATGTTCAGCCTATTTGTACTTTCATATAATTACACTGATGGTCTGGTGCAAATGAAATTCGCAGTGCAAACAAACTGATCCCTTCTCTTAGCACAGAAGAGTTTAAATTAAAGGAGAATAAAAGGTCATTGAACTTTGAATTTAGTGGGTCATTAGATCATGGAGACTCTGATTTATTTTTTCGATAAAAAACAAAGATTAGAAACCTATGGTCAAAAACCTAAAATTTTCCCAAGAACAAAATAAGTAGAAATACAAGAAGTCAAAAAAACAGCAAATAAAAGAAAACCCTGAATTGATTAAAACCAAGACATATGCATTATCTTCAATTCATATTAGACAGATTTCTTGCTTGATTAAAAAAAGTTTCTTATTGGATCAAATAATATTTTTCCAGCCTAATTTCCACCACTAGCTATCATCACTGTCTGCACATTAAACCACTCTATAAACTAGTGTTGGCAAATTTCCCCATAAAATCAGAGCCCATCCCACCCCCCTCTGAACGGGGTGGGTTTTTCCCAATCTTAAATGGGCACAGGGAGGGGATGGATTTTGCATATAATTCTCCAAACCTGCCACAAACCCAATGATAAATTAGTAAAATGTGATTAGATTTAATATTGACTTTTAAAATAGTTCTAAATTTCCCAAATTCTTAAAATCCTAGGATCTCATAATTCCAATTATAAAATACCCATAAATTATCATAGTCTAATTCCTAGAATACCCTCAAACTCCCATAGCCCTATTTGTAAAATGTCCACAAATAAGATTATTTTTAGATGATTGCCTCGAGATAGGAAAATTTAGGGATTCCCTATCCTCATTGGGGAGTGAGTGCCCTGCCATGCCACTGGGGACCAGTTTGAGTGCCTTAACTACGGGACAAGGATGGGGTGCCCCTCTCCAAACCTGCCCCATTGCCATTCAATTCCTAACATAGACACTACTCTTCGACCAACTTGACATGCAGAGAGGAAGGGTGGCCATGAGTCAAGCTTTTCACGAGTTGTTTGAGCTCGTCTCGTGCAAAGCTTGGCTCGGTTTGAACCGAGCTTCGATCCAAACTCAAGCCTTGTATATAGGTTCGTTTGCTAATTGAGCTGAGCTCAAGCCTAATAAAACGAGCCTAATCGAGTTTTTACATATATACATGCATATATATACAAATATATGTTTATATATTAATATATACATATAAAAATATTATATATATAAAATTTTAATTTTTATATAATAATCATTATGTTTTTGTAATTTTTAATTTTAATTTATAGTTGAGCTCAAGCCAAGCCAAACTCGAACTTTCAAGCTAAATTTGAGCTCAGGTCTCTAGCTCAAATCAAGCCCGAACTCGAGCCCGATAATATATTGGCGAGCTGAACTAGAATAGCCAAATATTTGGCTTGATTCGGCTCAAATCCACATGACACCCTCTTGGGTTAGAGAGTCGAAATACCCTCTTGGGCTCAAATCCACATGACACCCCTTGCAACCGACAAACAAACTTCCCTTCTCAACTCTTGCAATTCCAAGCCTTCCGACAAGCCTGAGATGTCATCTTCAATGAAGCTTCATTTCCCTTTGCTGCTACTACTGCATCTCCTTCCACAAGTCCTCCTGCGCTCCCACTTGCACCTCCTCATGTCTTTCAGCCTAGTGATCATGCTCAGCCATCAATCCCACTATGCATCCTACTAATAACAACCCTTCTGATGACAGTAATACTTCCATTCCTCTGTGCTCACCTACAGCTTGCTCACACTCTTCCATCGGTGTCAACACATCCTATGCGAACTAGGTCAAAGAGTGGATATTCAAACCTAAAGTTTTTAATACTGTCAAATACCCACTTCATGAAGCTGAACCAACTTGTTTAACACAAGCTCACAAGGATGCTCGATGGCAAGCTGCTATGTGTGATGAATATGCTGTGGTCACGTGCAACAATACTTGGGTTCTCACTCCACCCAAATCTGGTGCTAATGTCATTGGATGCATGCAAGTGGGTTTACCGTATCAAACGTAAACCTGACGGGACTATTGATGGATTCAAAGCACCTCTGGTTGCAAAAGGCTTTAGCCAAGGTGAAAGCATTGACTATTCAGAGACATTTAGTCTAGTTGTGAAGTTCACCACCATTCGTGTTGTTCTAGTCTCGCCATCTCTAAGAATTAGCTTTTTCGACAATTAGAAATACAGAATGCCTTTTTGCATGGTGAATTTCAGGAAAATGTTTACATGACCCAACCTCCTGGGTTCATTGATAAAGATAACTCTAGTCATGTTTGTCATCTCATAAAATCCCTTTACGAGCTTAAATAAGAACCTCATGCTTCGTACACCATGTTAGTCGCTTTTCTCATTCATAAAGGCTTTGTGAATTCTGTGGCTGATTCCTCTTTATTCATCAAGCACTCCTCTGCTGATCTCATATTAGTTTTAAATTATTATTAATTTTAATAATATGTTATGATTTTTTTATTTTAAATTCTTTAATTTATTGCATTTTGTTATTTAAACTATTTAAAACATAGTTATGTTAAATATTTTGTATTTAAATATTTAAATAGTATATAAAATATTTAAAAATACTCATTATTTGAATTTAAGATATTTAGCTATTGAAATATTTAAATAATATTTTTCTATGTAGTTATTTAGCTATTTTTAGTATTTTATTATTTAAGAAATTTTAGTTATTGAAATACTGAAATAATATATTATTTTTTAATGTTAAATTTATATTATTTGAATAACATTTAATTTGAATAATCTGAAAAATAATAATTTATATTGTTAGTACATAATTTCGTGATGAATTTTGTAAGAATATAAATCTATTAATAATATGAATATTATTAAATCTATTATAATTATTTTGTGTGTTTTTAAAAAATATTTTAAAGTTTATACTCTTATTACATAATTTCACTATTAGTTTTGTAAAAATATTAAATTATTAATTTGAATATTATGTTTTTCATTTAAGATTTGTTTATTTTATTGCATAATTTCATTATTTTATACTATTTAAAATATAGTAATGTTAAATATTTCGATATTTAAAATAATAGGTTATTGAAATATTTAAATAATATATCAAATATTTAAAAATACTCATTATTTGGATTTAATATATTTACTTATTGAAATATTTAAATAATTAAACATTTTTCTATGTAATTATTTAACTATTTTTAGTATTTTATTATTTAAGGTATTTAGTTATTGAAGTATTGAAATAATGTTTTATTTTTTTTAATGTTAAATTTCTATTATTTGAATAACATTTAATTTGAATAATCTGAAAAGTCATAATTTATATTGTT